GGGAAAGAAATTAATTATAAAGACCAATACACGGACACCGGGGTTCTCTGAGAACCTTGCAGTGAAAGATCAGGGACACTGGTGTGAGCTGCACAGGCTGAATTACCTGTGCATCTCTGGAGGCAGAGGTTACCAAACATGGAAGTATCTTCCAGTCTGACTTTAAGTCTGCAATGCTCTGCCTTAACACCAGTTTTGAGGATCTTTAATATGATTTTCTATACTTGTGGTTCACTTTTGCTGCATTTTTATTTTAAATATGCAAAGTTCTGTGGGTAGAGTTGTATTTACACTTTTTTAACTATCAGACCAGCTGTGGCCACCTTAGTTCTCTTTGGTCTGTCCCACGCGCTCCAGGATGTCCAGTACCTTCCACTGCAAGATAACAAATCATTCAGACCATTCTGATTTGGAAAGGTGCTGCTTTTGATCTGTCCTTCTTACTTCATTCTAGAAATCCATTGAAATTAATTACTGAAGTTAATGAAATACAACAGACCAAGTAAGAAGATCACTGAGTTTTACATTCTTAAAATCCTTCCTCTTACCCCTGGCCAGCAAATTGCCTGATAATTCTAAAAAAAAAAAAAACAGTGGAAATGTTTAAATGATCTGATTTCATGCTTTTTATCCAGAAACCCACAGGATATGAACAAGACTGCCTTTAAGAACAGAACTGATACACTGTCCACTACTCTGCTACATTTTGGATTTCTTCTGATTGCTACCAATTTTTTTCAAGCACTGTTCTCTCCCAGCCATACATGCAGAAGGGTCATCCCTGCCTCACTCCTCCTGAGGCAGAAGTACAGCAGCACAAGAAAGAAGTAAAGAAAAGGGAGGTAATTACAGGACACCATTCCTTATTCACACACCCCATCCAAATTACTGCTTCAGTTTTTTCTAGCTACTTGTCTAATCTCTTAAACAATATTCATACTAGTGGTCTGCAGACTGCAAATTACACTACAAACAAATACAGCAATTTCAACTGCTCCATCATTATCAATCAGAAATTATTTCAGGAAATATGCAGAAGCTGTGAGTCAGCTTGGACATCAATGGCTGTTCCATTTCTTAGTCATTGAATGAGGCTAACACATGACTCATCTCAGCTGACACATTTTCAATTGGATCATTGATATTCCAGATCTTCAAAAGAATTATTTATCTGGCTTAGTGCTAACAGCAACATGTCCTCCATCTCCTCTATTTATAGTGTCATACTACAAAATATATGCATGATTTAATGTTTGTATACATGATTCAACCAACTTCATCTCTCAGTGAATCCAAAGACCACATAGAACTTGTACTTTTTACTGATATATTCTATTTATCATGCATGCACATATTCCTCCTTTTCTCCATCAGCTTGTGGAGAAAAATAATCATCATCTACAATGCTGGTCAACTGCAAAACTGATTCAACTAAACCCACTATTTGTCATCAACGTGTGTTACTAGAGCAGCCCATCTTTTGGGTGTCCAGCACTCCAGGCACCAAGGTGCATACTGCACTGGGCAAAGCCAACAGACGTTTTTCCCACTCAGATTCCCAGACTAGACTGCAAGTCCACCTTCATCCTGATCAATCTTCTCTATTTACAGACTCAGGTCAAGAAGCTGGGCAGATTGATCTTGCCTTGTTTGGAAGCACACCGTGGTACTAATCACATTTCAGCCTGTGGCCATTCCCAGCCAGGAGCGACAGGCAGTTGCTGTAGAGTCCACGGGCTCCTCTGGCATAAAGGGAACCTCCCAAAACACACACTGGATTGTGTGACCTGGCAGTAAGGATCAAGGAGTTGAGCAGGTCTGCTGATGTCAAACAGTAGGAGTGCAACTCGCACAGCTCACTAGTGATAACACAACCTTGGTAAGCAACTGTAATTGTAGCAGAAATTAATATTTCTGTTTTACAGCCAAGTATTCTTTTGTAGATAACTTGCTACTTGTGATCCACACATTTACTGCTTTGATGAAAGTGGAATTCATACAGGTACTGAAGAGCACTCTAAGCCCCTCGAGCATTTAAAGGAGTATACCCACACACTCACAACATTTTTTGTATGTTAACTTTTGCTACCTCAATAGCAAAACAAACAAACAAACCAACATCACAGAACAACACAGCTCATTCTCA